CCTGGACGGTTATCTGGGTCATTGTACCGTCATCGCATTCTAAATTCGGAGTGCAACAAACGTGCGCGCGACTTTTCGACCAAAGGGATCGCTGGCTGCCAATTCATACGACCGAGAGTGAGAAATCGAGTTGGAATAGGGATATATTGGGGGCGCGTCGTGAGTTTTGGGCCAAGTTTGTCTTGGAAATTTTGGAGAAACTATAGGAGATACTTGTGCCGGGACTTTGATGTTTCGAGAGTTCAGTTTGGGTATCGGGTGGAAGTTGATCTTGGTACTTGTTTGGATTGCAAGTGTGCTCTCGTAGCGTTGATTTACAGCGTGAAAAGGAAAGGAGGAGGAGGAGGAGGAGGAAGAGTTCTGTATAAGGTATAGATACCTTAAAATCACTCGTATTATGATAAACTTTTCAAAGTTTCAATCGATTTCTTACTTTTGCATATAACTTACTACGTGTATTATATAAATATAATACAGAGATCTGTGAAGAGGCCAAAAGAAATGGAACTACTTTCGCGTTTACTAGAACTTCTCTACTCTCCACATGAAGAAAAAGAAAAAAAATTAGAATTCACAACCTTTCACGACAATCTATACCTATTTTATCACCGTTCATTCACGTTTACCCGCGTCAATATTTCGCGGTATCGCGACAATTCGTTTCGCGCGAGCTTAATCCTTGGGCGCACGTCCGTACTCTGAAATAATTCCCATTCAACGGGCGCGGCCCGATAATGCGAATCGATTCCGGAAACATCGATCGTCGGGTCTAAATATATAATTGGGAACGTGAGGCGAGGGGGTGGATTTTATCCATACATACATACATACATAGCTGGACGCTAGACGCACGTAGTAAGCAGGCAGTTAAAAAAGAAGGATAAACCAACATTCGCGCAGAATAAATAGTAGAAGCCCATAAAACTCGCACGAAACACTGTACGTTTTACGAGTCCATTCCCGAGACCATTGTCACGCGTAAAACAAGCCAGGGTTTGTTCAACCTGCCTAGACGGAAGTGACGTCGCGGCAACGTGGGGCGACACGGCTCGTTGGACCCCGCGCGCGGAAATAACTCACGTACGGGAATCGTCACGTCGCGTGGTAACACGATGGAACACAGAAATGCAGATACGGAAAGGTTGTAAGTGGCGGATCGCCGATAATCGTACGCGAAACAAGGAGGATCCGCCTCCTCCGGTTTGTCCTTGGGGATATAAGGTTCCCGCCGGGTTCACCGAGAGGAGGACCAGTCATGGGACAACAAGGGTGTACGCGAGACACGTTTCCTCACCGTGCCGGGAGAATTACTGCTCGTCAACGTGCCTCTCGATAATTTCGTTCGAGGAATATATAGGGGGCATTGAAGAGCGAGGGTTTAAAATTTTAAGGGCTTATTGTAGTCCTCGAGATGGCGAGTCTTAAATTTTTCTCAGCCGAGAATTCCTTTCACGCGGTATTTATTGTAATTGGTTGGAATTTAAGCTTTGTTTTTTTCTTTCCTTCCTCTCTCCTCCCCTCCATTTTTTCAAATCCGTTGCGCTTATGCAAAAAGAAAAAAAAAAAAAAAGAAAAGATCGTAACAAGAGGTCAATGCTGCTTTTGATTATTTTATTTAATATTAGGGATGATTAATAATTCGGTGGTAGATGTGGTGTGCATTTTGTTATAATTGGTCAGGATCCTTGAGCCTAGCTTTTTTTCTTCTATATATATATATCGTATTTATAGCAATGTAAAATACTAGAAGAGATATATCATAATGTGTGATGATAGAAGATCTACATTAATCCGTTTCTAAAGAAACTTTTTTCTAATAAAATTAAAAAAAGAGAAAAATAATAATAATAATTGTTCTCGACGTCGAAACGGGTCACCAAACAAATTTAATTAGAAATTGATATTTATCGAGAAACCAAAATTTTTAACGATGAATAAGGCGTAGAATGTAGAGCTTTCACCGTATTTGCGTCACATTTTTACGATGAAATTGAGTGAATCGGTTTGAAAGATAACTCGATGACTCGATCGGAATTGAAACTAGCACGAGGAAGAAATTTTTCTCTTTTTTTTCCCCCACCTCCAACTTCGACCTATATATATATATATATATATATTTCTTCTTTAAATTAATTCGAGGACTTGTAAGCGTCAATGTCGTCGTTTGGAACGAAGATTTAACGAGGAGTAATCATTCGAGTTTTTCATCTAGCACAATGACAGCGAAATTATTACAACGTCCAACTGGATGATGGACTACTACTAGATCGTCTGGAAACGCATCGACGATTCGAAAAGTCTATTCCGGTCGGTTTATTCTTAACAGATATCCCATTTCTGCATTGCCGCGTATTTTTAACCGTGGCCCACATCCGAGCTCGTTGATTATTTCCTCGCGTAATCGAATAGCCTCGTCTTCTTCTCTCGTTTCGTGACGTTCATCGGCGAGAAATAAAAAAAAAAAAAAGGGGAGGACGAAAGAGAAAGAGCATTTCTCTTTCTTCGTTCACGAAAGCTATGCGGCCACTTTGCATGTCATTTCGTCGCGTTTCCCTTTCCTCGAATGCCCCGGTAATTCTTTTTAACGATCTCACTGACCGGCGCCGCGATTAAAATTTATCACCGTAATAACGTTACACCCTGAGAGGAAAAAAATACAGACAGCACGTTGCTAGCGTAAATATTCATAAATACCCTCGCTCTATTTGCTACTACCGCAGCCATTAAGGTCCCAGCCTTTTAAGACGCGTGATAAGCTTAGCGCGGAATGATTGGTCTGCCGTAAGTGAATCTGTTATTTATATTTCTATTAGTGCACCGTTGTGCACTCTATTCAACGTAAATTTCTCTACGTTACGTCAAACGAAAGGAAAAGTGTAATTTTATGGACCACTAGATCAGAAATTCTATCGAAATTCCATCCTAATTCACGCTCAAAATAAATCCTCGACCGAAAATTGACTTACTTAAAAATCGATTTTACATCTCTCGAATAACAAAATAGAAAATCCTCATAATTGCGTCAAAGATTTTCTATAAAATCTTTTGTAGAGCTTTTTCTCGAAAAAGAGAGATGTACCAGCCGCAAGTGAGCAGTCAAGATCCCTTCAAGTTCCTCCGCAAGATTGCTCGAAAGCAGAGAGAACGGTACATACGCGATTAGACACGCTATCGAGTCTCGAATTCGTCGGCGTGCGATGGCGTAGCGGGACAGCTTCCATTACGTCTTCATGAATCGAATGCCGCGAAATTGAATGGAAAAATGGCGGTTGGGATCGTGACAGCTCAACTCCTCTTCCTGGACGGGCGAGGAGGAGGATTCAGGCTGTTGAGCCACGATGCCACCGCCGATGGAAACCGTGCGAAGAGGCGCGAGGTGAAATCCGGTCCATTGTCATGTGGCCGAGGATCACGTAAGGTCACACACTCTCCGAGCCCTACGTGGAAACAACAAAGGCGTCAAGTTTCGTAACGAGCGACAGAGTGTCGGTTTTATTGTTAGAAAACGGACTGGCTCTTCGTCCGGAGGAGCACACCGTTTCGGTTTAGTCATCCGTGGCCTCGATCCGAAGACGTTCCTCCAGACGTCGTATCCGTTTCCACGCTGATAAGACGGTTGTGTGAGAATCTTGGGGAATGTGTTTTAGGCATTGGCTTAGGCATTGGTTAATTCGTGTTGATTCGTTTTTAAATATACGGCCTTGTTGACTCAATTTATCAATACGATATATCTCTATCTCTGCATTTCTGTTATAAATTCTGAATTCCAGAAATATCAATCTTTCTGAATAATCCTTTTCACTGTCAATTAAATTAATACAATAGATATGTTATTAGTCTTGATTGGGAATGTAAATGTACATAAAATTTGTGAAGGTGTATGAAGTTATATCTTCGAGACAAAGTTTGTTTTTGTTGTTTTGTATATGTTATAAAATTTTGAGCAACTTTTTCCTATTTGTATAACCGGAAATCACTTTTAATTTATTTATTTACAAAAGAGAGTTCTGCTAAATTTGTAAACACGCGCGTTTACGCAACTCTCCTTTCTCTTTTCTTCTTCTTCGTACGTATCTCGTACGTATACAATTTACCGAGTACAATCACTTGGAATGAGTTTTGTAAAAAAAAAAAAAAAAAAAAACACGGAAAACGACGGGATCGACATTTCTATTTGAACGATTATATAAATCGGATCGGTTTACATTAATTAGAGAGAATTAAAATTTAAATCTGATTAAAAGCCGCGTGCTCGAAAAAGAAAAAAAAAAAAAAGAAATATGAATTTTTATGCAAAGAAATTCATGTAACTTGGAGCCTATAGTTTTTCCTTTTACGCATGCCGGAAGAATCATTCATCTTCCACAGCTTACGTACGGTGTCACAGTCGATTGCGAGAGATCGTAGGTAAAAGCAGCCGAGCTCGGAACGCTTTCTACAATTAATTACAACGCACGATAGCGTCCTCTACGGTGGTCCTTAATTTGTCGCTACATCAAACGCAAATTGATTATCAACTGGTGCCACTGGTGGCCGCTAAACATTCGCCACGAGTCGTTAATCTCGCACGAAACGTTTCTCCTCATTCTCGAACCGAGTCCGACCACCATACGTATCATGAGTCACGTCTGAATCGCGTCATTAGTTCGTTGTAATCTTCCACCAGTCTCCCTCTCTCTCTCTCTTGCATAAATAAAATAAGAAAAGATAGAGAGAGAAAGAGAAAAATAAGTTAAACTTCGAATTAATCGGGGTGTAAATTTATCGAGATCTAGACTCTCTAGATTCCTCGATCCAGGATCCATCTCCAAAACGAATATCGCCATTGTGGGCGAGAGAGAGAAAGAACGGAAGGAGAGGGTTCTTTTGCTTGCTTATGACCTGCACGGTTGTTACTTATGCAAATGGGATGCGCGATTAAGGTCGCGTTTCGTAACTTTCCCTTTAATTAAGGGCACAAGGTTTGCAATTCTCGCTCACCTCGCGTTGATTCCTCGCAGGGTGGCGGCGATGATTCGGACGAAGATACACAGTGCGCCCTCAGCGAGAATTGGACGTTCGAGAAGAAAACGAGGCGCTGGTCCCGCGTGTGCGACATGACGCAAGCGAACGTGGAGAGGTTGCAGGCGATCAGCAGCGGGCAGACGGTGCAATCCGAGGAGGATTCCCTGGAGGATCGGTTGGAGGCAGAGGAGGCCGAGGACACGATGCTGGACACGCTCAGATACAGCAGCCTGCCGCCTGGCACGCTTCCCGACGAGATCGGGCCGAGATTTCGGAGAACCGGGTCCGAGAGGCTGAGGGACGGGGCGAAAGCTTTCCTGAGGCGGGTCGAGTCGTTGAAGTCCCGGCGACGGAAGCACCAAAATCGGGACGGGATAGTGATCAGCGGCCCCCAAATACTGGACGTGATCTCGATGCAGCAGAAGATGAAGGAGCTGAACTGCGTGGACGTGTCGCCGACGGGCCCCTCGCCGGTCTCGTTCAACGATCTTCTGCCGGGCTCGCCCCTTCACGTGCCTGGGTCGCCCGTCACGCTGCCCGCGTCCCCCTATCACCTGCCGCCCTCGCCCCTGGCCAACGCGCCCAGCCCGTTCGGCGACGATTCGTCGAGTTATTGCTCGGACGGGTCGCAAGGAGGTGGCCCGACACCCACGCCGACGCGGACGAAGATGAACCGGGCGAGAAGGTTCCTGCATCGGGGCAGGGAGGACCAAGGGGCGCTCAGCGACTCCGAGTGCCAGCCTACCAATTGGCGGCACAGGTACTTCAGAGACGCGAACAGTAATCACGCTAAAGTGTTGGAATACGTGACCGCCCATCCCCAAAGCCCCAAGGATTCGCCGACCAAAACTCCCATAAATAGCCGCGGAGGTAGCCTGAATCTTGGGAAGGAGTCGCAGAGGTACAGGGACAAGTTGTCCCAGGGCCAGAATCAGGAGAGGTACAAGGAGGACAAGGTGGCCGCTTTGAAGAGGGAGGATAAGATGCACAAGAGTTTCAGGCATCGTGACGATTCTTACAGGGAGGGGAAACCTTTGTCCAAAGAGGTGACCGTCTACAGAGAGAAATCGAGATCGAGGAGTTCGGAGCTGGCCGGAAGTCAGGAGAGCAGTTCGACGGTTGCCAGTCGTGATTCGGATCAGGAGGAGGATTCGCCGAGGCACAAGGGTACCGTTGTCAGGTGGCACAGTTTCCAGAGGGGATCCCTGTACCCGGAGCCGCTCGACCCCCTGTGCCCACGAGCCATGGCCTCGATGTCGTGCGGCCAACTGTTGGTACTGAGGAAGTTGGCTCTGTTGAAGCTGACCGCCTGCATGGAACGATATTGCCCGACTCATCGTACCGGATGGAACTGGGAGCTGCCCAAGTTCATCAGGAAGATAAAGACCCCCGATTACAAGGACAAGACGGTGTTCGGTGTACCGTTGCTGTTGTCCCTGCAGAGAACCGGCCAGGCCTTGCCAAAGTGTATTCAAATAGCGCTCAGATGGCTGAGAGCGAACGCCCTCGACCAGGTTGGGATCTTCAGGAAGAGCGGGGTCAAGTCTAGGATACAGAAATTGAAAATGATGACCGAGACTTTGGGGGATAACATCAATTTCGATGGCCAGCAGGCGTTCGACGTGGCCGATCTCGTGAAGCAATATTTCAGGGAATTACCGGAAGCTCTGTTAACCAACAAATTGTCCGAGACCTTCATCGCTATATTCCAACGTGAGTATCTAGAATATTCTTCTCGCATTCATTTTGGTATCGTCTTGGGACCGATCGATCGATGATTTATCGGCAAGTGGACGGGAGTTAATTACAGGTGTCGATGATAATTGTTGCAGACGTACCTGTTAAGCTGCGACCGGACGCGGTGCAATGCGTGCTCCTTCTTCTGCCAGACGAGCATCGGGAGGCGTTGGAGACTCTGCTCGATTTCTTGAACCACGTAGCGAGCAACGCTCCCTACAACCAAATGACAGCCTCGAACCTGGCCGTGTGCCTGGCACCGAGCCTGTTCCACTTCAACCACAGTAACACGAACGTGACCAACAGGTCGAGCAGCGTATCGCCACGTAGGAGAAAGACCGTGGGCATTCCCGATCAGAGGGAACTGTCGGAAAACAAAGCCGCTCACGACTGTCTTCTGTATCTGGTCAAGATGCATCGTGAATTATTCATGGTGAGTGGCTCGATGCCGAACGTCCAGGTCGTTCGAGAGGAGTCGTTCATCCGTCGTCGTCTCGAATCGGCGATTGCGATCAAATTCGAATTCGAGATTTATATATACACATCCTCGCGAATCGAAAAGGAAATACGAGTTAATTCTTTTTTCTCTTGGTTGCGCCAGGTTTCTTCGGATATGTTGATGCAGTGTCATTTTAATTATATGGAAGAAAGCGTGCCGGTCGCCTTGGAGGAATTGGGATCCGAATTGAAGCAAGATTGGAGAGGATACCTTTACGCGTGTACCACCGCTTTGTTGAAAGAAGCGCGTGAGAAGTATGTATATTATACTCGAACGTATCTCTGAATTGTTTACGAAGAAATATTAATTCTTTTCCTTTCTTTTCGCAGAAGTCGGGGATGGGTCACCGTGAACAATCCAGCCGACAGTACGGTAGAGATGGCGTACAAGAAAGTAGGTGACGGACATCCACTTCGACTGTGGCGAGTGTCGACTGAGGTTGAAGCTCCACCGAACGAGCTTCTTCATCGTGTACTGAGGGAGAGGCATATCTGGGATCCTCAGCTTTTGAAGTATAGATTGGTCGCCAAGCTGGACACCAACGTGGAGGTCTTTCAATACGCCACTGGGAACATGAGTCCTCTTCCTGCCAGGGATTATTGTGTGCTAAGGTGTGTTTTGAATTTATTCCCAACAGGAATCGAACGTGACGAATAGCGAAATTGATTTATAAAGAGTTATAAAAGAGGGGGAGGATCGATTGTTGTAAATTATGTAACGTTGCATTACATAACATTGCATGCAGATCCTGGCGTAACGATCTCCCCAAAGGGGCCTGCGTCATCGTAGAAACGTCCGTGGAACATCCGGATGCTCCTGTTATGCTTGGTGGAACACGTGGTATTGTTTTAGCATCGCGCTATCTCATCGAACCTTGCGGTAGTGGTAAATCACGGATCATGCATCTTTCCAGAGTGGATACAAAGTAATACCTTTTTTGTTTCGCTTTCATTCCATTCACCTATATCGAGAATTTTTATTTAATTTCTTCTTACTAACGTCTATCTTTTTTTCTTCTGCAGAGGACGCACTCCAGAATGGTATAACAAAAGCTACGGTCACCTTGCTGCCCTTCACCTCAGTAAAATTCGCAATTCCTTCAAGCACACGACAGACGGTCCCGAGAGTAAAGTCTGAGAGGAAGCAACCGTGCAACGATCACCGTTGCACGGTCCTCGCACGACTCTAGAGGAACAGGATGATCAAAATCAGGAACACAGGATTCTAAAGGATGTGCGACAGGTTCAACCTACCATTGACGAGGAATAAAAGTAACATCGATGGTCGTATCTAATTTCATCGATACCATGACCAAGAATTTAGAGGATATCGAAGAAAATAATGGATCTAGGAGAGAAATTCAACTCGTTATCGAAGATGAACCCCATCGCGCGTTTCTCGAGTTGATTAAAACAATATTTATAAAAGGAAATGGAGGAAGCGAAAAAAGAAAAGAAAAAAGAAGAAACAAGAAACGTTAACGATACCATGCACAAGCTTTAATCGATGTGAAGCAATTTTTGTTGAAGCCTGAGATGTATAGCGTTAGACGTCGAATTATTATTATTATTAACCATGTTGTTAGAGGATGAAAAAGAAAAGAATTTATTGTTATCGTAATTATAAAATTCTCTCTGTTTGACGTTTTATTGTCCAAGGATCTTGCCGTCCAGTGATCGTGAAAGTCGTTAAAGAAAAATAATAGTATAAAAAAAAAAAAAAAAGAAAAAAAAAAAGAAAAAAGAAATGGCAGGAGACCGAATTGAAATGGGCTAGTACATGTTTTCCTCCGTGTATGTAGGATATAATATATTATTTTTACAAGTATCCATAATCCGATGTTATATCGCTAATCGAAGTTCCGCGAACGAAGCTTTTATCCTCGGCGATAACAAATATAATAGAATATTCGTCGATGTTTCGTCGAAGTAAGAACAAGAATGCTGCTACCCTAACGAGAGTAAACCGATGCCTTCTCGATGGTTTAACTAGATGATTTTAATAATCGTATCGATTGAAATATATACGCGAAGCATGTAAAAAAAAAAAAAAAGAAAGAAAAAAAAAAAAGAAAAAAAAAGAAAAAAAGGAGAAAAAAGAAAAAAGGGCGTAAAAATATTTTTCGATCGTAGTTATGCTACAAAATGCAGTCTGTGTATTTTCCGCGTCGCACGATGTTTTAATCTCACCAAATGATATATAAGCGAATATTAGATAGGAGAAAGAAGTCGCGCACAATATTATATTTCACCGTTATAGCGTATAAGAAATCCCTATTTTGTATGTTTCTTTCGGACCAAATGCCAATTTTTCTATTGTATCATATCACGCTGTTGTATCGAGTATCTCGAGAACATGGTTCTTTTAGAACGATTCTTTTTGTAAATGTCACGACGATTTAGACGACCAGGAGAAACCGTGTGTAAATTATTCGTACGTTATTATATATGGGTACGCATTATACAACGTATGCGTGTGTATTCTATTTATATACAACAAAGAAAAAAAAAAGAAAAAAAGAAAAAAAAAAAAAGAAAAGAAAGATTGACAAAACGCGAAACAACGTCGTCCAATGCGTTCCGCTTGTGCGTTCCAATGTTTCCAAATTGCGTTTTTTTTATCAGATAATCGTAAATTACGTCCCTCCCTCCACTTACATGTACCCTATTATTCACGATTAATCCGATTTAATCGAGCAATGCGAAAGGATTTTGAGTAAACGTGTAAGTTCTCGCCCTCCCCCTCCTTCGCGTAAGGGCGTACAATTTAAACTCGTGTTAATTAAGCAATCGTCATTGTCTCACACTCTTATATCGATGTTGAAGCGTTGAAAAAAAAAAAATTTGTCACAGAGTCTATTGTTAATTGTCTCTCTGAAATTGTAAATGTGAATCGCGAGCCGGCGGTTTCGGGGAATTGTTTTTCTCGGCCAGTCGATCATTTAAGACGAATCGTCGTTGTTCGAAATAACATTCGTGCATGCACCATGATTAACGCATATATAGGGACCACCCCTTCATCCTCCCCCGTTGAACACCGTAGAATAAAACGAATACGAAGGAAGGAAATATGATATATAGGATCGAGAAGAGAAACGACTTGGAGAAAAAGATACACCTCATCGAATTATAAGTGTATTTTAACATAATACTAGTCAACTTACAATTTAGATGAAGTTACGAATACGGATATAAGTGTATAGATTTTTATTCTACGAACATTACGTCGAGAATATTTAATTATTATTATTATTATTATTATTATTATTATTATATTATTATTATTATTATTATTATTATTATTATTATATTATTGATATAGAGTAATTATATATGGAGAAGAAAGAAATATATCAATGATATTTTTGTGTCCAAAAAACGCCAGTAGGGAGCACGAATGAATGAAAGTGTATGTATATCTGTGTATGCGTGTGTGTGAGAGAGAGGAAAAGAGGAAAAAAAGAAAAATAAAGAGAGAGAACACACGTCTGCATGTTTCTCCGTTATTTGTAACGATATATGACCGTCTTTATTCTTGTAATCCGTGTTTCACTAGAATGTAAATATGTATATTATACAATAATGAAACACGATTATATACTCATTAAACGAGATCGTTTTATTTTGTATACCTCTGCTCGTGCCATTTAATTATACCTGTAAAGTGTATTCTTCGAAAACAAGAAGTGACCAGACACGTAAGTTTATTAGTTTCTAGTTGTGCAACGGACAACAGATGCAGTTAAAAGCGGTTTATCGCATTTCGAGCTGTTTAATCGATACTTCGTGTTACCAAGAACAATACGTCAGTGTTTCTGTTCACATTCGTGCCACGATCCTGCCGTTTCTCGATCACCTCGCCCGGATATAAGCCGTTATTTTCGCTAAACTACCGTTGTCCAACAACGCGCCTTTTATAATATCACATAGATAAACTTTTCAATTGCAAGTTGAATAATCAATTTTTGGTGTTTTTTTAAATATCGTCGTTTGATTGGCGTAAAACAATAATCATTGGAGTAACTTATCAAAAAGGTAACCTTTTTATGTAATCATATCACAAGTTTACTTATCATTAATCATTAATTTAGTCTTCAAAATATTCAATCTTAATAGTTAATGATTAAAATAGAATCTTTTCATTCATTCTATTCGTAAGTAAAATCTAAATTTGATAATCGTAATGACAATTCGAACTATTCGAATCTATCATTGAACGCAGTAAAGTTCATCTCGCAAGTTAATTTTATTTCTCTGAAATAAGGTGAATAATGTATGTTGAAAGAGAGCTAAAGCCAATCACTTGTAAACCTATACTTTGTTCCAAGCTTTCCGAGAAAATGGTTCGATTGCACGTGAAAAAAGGCGAGGAGAGCCATTTTCTGTACGATACTCACGTGGAGGCTCGGGTTGAAGACATTATATACGATATTACCATCATTTACAATGGCCGGCTGAAGGTTTCAAGAATATGTTACGGTAATGATCGCTTGTATCTCGTACGGGAATGAATCAGATCGAGAAAGATGACATATCTAATAACGTGGCAAAAGAAAACCTGTCCGCCTATCCGTTATTTAGGCACAGATGGCCACGGGCTTGTGAGTTAAGTGGTATAAACTGTCTCGAGGTAACAACGTGCTACGCATTATTTTCGTTTTTTATTTTCACGTCTGTGTAATAGGATCATTCGCGAAACGAACAATTTTATCGAGAATTACCTCGGGCCCATCCAATGCCAATGATTTCATTAACGATAACGAGTTTACGTATCCCTTCATTTATTCTTCGATTATGCCATTAATCCAATGATGCGTTTTAATCCTACCTGTATATAGCCGCTTGTTTATTCACTTTCCTTAAAGTAAAAAGAGTTTACGTCTTGATCCTGCTTTGATCCTTCACTATCTTTGAGGAGAATTGCATTGGATATGAAGGAAACGTTTCTTATTTTGATAAACACTCAAGAGATTTTATTTATATAGAACTATATTTTATAAATATTCTACTGAATAAGATATGAAGAGGGTTTACTATAGAAAATTGCTGCTGTAATATAAAATAGCTTCATTTTCTACCTTGTTTGTTATTTCTATTTTATTTGCTTGTTTTTGTATATGTTGTTTGATTATAATATAAGAAATATTACTGATAGTTTAATTTTTCTAAAACGTGATTATTAAGTTTTGATTTCAGGAAGAGAAATAGAAAAAAAGTAATAGTTTAATAATAGTTTTTATCGAACAATCGATCGTTCTTCCATGAAATCACGAATGGATTCAAAAGAAAATGAAAAAATTTAATTAAACTCTCAACTAAAGATCATGATAAATTTACGAAAATTTATCATATAACTACGTATAACGTTTCTTATATACGTCATGAATTAATATATATGTGGTCGCATGTGTACATTAGCACAAATTCTTATAGATTTTTTTTCTATTTTGAAAATATTTCTCGCGTTCTTAAAGTCGACCTTGGTTCCTATACGATTCGAACACTAACGCATGAAATCCATTAATAATTATCTCTCGGAGAAAACCTCACCTGCGGCTCGTAATAATAATGCTGCATAATAAAAAGATCGAGTTTATGAATCCATCCATCCTGACCACAGTGTGATATTAGTCACACGTCGCAGCAGGATAGTAATTACGCAGAATTACGTTTAACCGTGTACTTGTACGTATTCTTTCGAAAAATAGAAATCGAGGAATTGATCAAGCATGGCACCATGCTGCCTCATAATATGATGGGACTTACCGATGAGCAGGTTGAAGAATTGAAGCTCAAGGATGAATGGGGTGAAAAATGTATACCGATGGGTGGTTGGACCTTCAATAAAGATGTTATTGGTACGTAGAAACAAATCACTAATCACTTGTCTAAGGCACTCGAACGAACGACTGATCAAAATTCGGAATGTCGGAACGAGCGCGAAAAATTCGGCAAGATTCGGGTATGATCGGGCTGCGCGCGTCGCCAAAAGTTCGTCTAACTTCGGTTTGGCTCGGCAAAAATCGGAAGTTATAGGTTCAAAAACGCGGGAGACAGTATTGTGAAAAAAGTGAAAAGGAAGGATCTGTCATTATTTGTACGTGATTAATTTGTAATTTGTGCTCGTTTTGATATATAATATATAATTCATCTACCTTTTGTTCATCTATTTTTGAAATGTAAGTATAAAATCATATAAATTATATTTAATACTTCGGTTTCTCATAATTAATCTAAACTAATTGAATGTTTGACTCATGGTTTTCTATTAATCATATAAAATGTAGTTTCGATAGACTAATTATGTCATATATTATGATATATATTTCAATTATGTATATATATCTAGTTTTTTCTTGATTGAAACGATACACTGAATGATATTGCAAATAATATTCTTAAGTGTGTAACAATTTTTACGAACACTTAACCTTAATTGTTATATATTTGAAGTAAAGCAAGAAATTTTTATGCTATATATTTTATTTTTATGATATCTATTAAGTAGATAATTCAAATCATAAAAAAAATAATCATTTTAGTAAGTAACCAAAGGATTAATCTCATATATATACATAAGAAATATATAGCATGTATTTTCAATGTACGTAAAAAGGGTTAACGATGCAGTTTATTTTATGTTGATCTAAACAACTATGCTTAAGGCTCATGCAAATATATAATTATCGGAAATGCTATGTGCGATGTAGACAAGAAATTGACTTAACCAGAATTTTTGTTGTCTCGAATGGACTTGTAATGGTAGCATTAATTGCTCGCCAGTCTCGGACGGAATGTAACCATAAACGATTTCCATGTTTCAGGCCGTAGAAATGGCAAACAACCTAACACGAAAATGCAGGAGGTCTTGAAGAAAACGATCGAGGAGGCACGAGCTATGGTTTCGAAGGTAATCATCTTATGTCTGTTCCTCTGTGTGTGTTCCTCGTTTCTCGTTTTTATACTCGAGAACAGATTATTCCTATTTTCATTTTATGCATTATACTAATATGTTCCTGTAATGTAAATTTTTTGTCATTTTGTTTTTTATAGAAATTGATACAGCAAGAGAAATTGGTGACGCAAAAAACAGTCCAAGAAGCATTGGACATTCTCAGAGGTGCTGTGATGATCGTTTATCCAATGGGACTTCCGCCTCACGATGTTATTCAACAAGAATTCGAGAATACGGAAGATTTGAGCGGGACTCAAGCATCACTTGAGGTAATAATTAGTGATAATTTTTGAGTTGAAATTTTATTATAAAATATTTATAGCATTTGAACTTTATTATTTTTAAAAATTAATAATTTTTAAAAAAATTTTTGGAGATCATTGTTTTCTATAATTTTAATACTCAGAGTTGATGATTTATTATTATATAGGTCATCGACGTGCAACTGGCACAACTTTGGTTCTCAGGAAAAGAAATGATAATAGGAAAGAAATTAAAGGATTATTTGGGGATGAATGAAAAGACAAAAATCATTGTGAAACTGCAGAAACGGGGAGCTGGAAAACCTGCTCGTGAACCATTGATGTCAGAAGAAGAACGAAAACAACTAATGCTGCATGCTTACAGACGTCAAGAACAGCTTAAGGTAAGTGAATCTTTCATTTTGTTGATAAAGTAGTTTTCTTCTTTGTATATGTATACATGTATACATGTATTGAGAGATAAATTTCGAATTTTCAATCTACATTTCTTGCTTATAATTTTATAATTATATCTATAACTTTAATTTCAAATCTTAATAATCTTTTAATTTTTTTTGAATCGATAATTTATAAACATTTTAAAATGATAAAATTTTAATAATATAAAAGAACTTTAATAAGACATGTAAAATAAAAAAGAACTTAACATAGATCATAGACAATGTATATATAAAATTTTACTTTTGATTATATTTTATCTATCATTTTAATGTATTAACAGATGATAATAATTATTGAATAATCATTAGTAAATTAATTCTATATTGTAATCACACTAAATATACATTGAATAATTATTAAAATATTTACATAAAAGAAGGAAGCTACTTTATAATTATATTTTGCATGCTAATTAAGATATTTACTGATGGTAAATATGAGATATTTTTTCATTTTGCAGGTAAGTTTTTAAATATTTTTTTCTATCATATAATTATTATATGTTATTTTATATTTGGGTACACAATATGTCACATAACAAATGGTTTATTATAAATAATTATTACATAGAACATATATTTTAGTACAAATACATTTCTTACAATGAATTACATTAATTTATCAAAAAAATTAAATGTTCAATAATTTATATGAACATTTTATTCATTGTCCTTATTTATTTTGCCTTTATTTAGCAATATTTCATTTAATGATATATCATCATTATTGATTTACGCGTATAGATGTATTTTATTATCGATCATCAATGTCCTTTTTAAAGTAGGTTAATTCATTTCATATACACCTCATGAAATAATGAATATAAAATATGCGCTGTTAAATATCTAATCGTCTTTATTTTATATCATATATTTATAGGCTATATAATTTTAACATACCATGAACATTTTTATCTATATTTTTAAACAACTGTAAATTATATTCTATTA